TGAACGAGATTGAACGTGCAGATGAGGAGTACAAGGAGCAGAAGTGGAGGTTATTTATTGTTATTTATTATTATTATATATTATTAATGTTATTTATTATTATTTATTATTATGTATTATTGGTGTTATATATTATTTATTATTATTATTATTATTATTGTTAATATTTGGAAATGACAAAAATATTGGCGCAGTGCGGAATCGAACTTGCGACCTGTGGTGGTGGCGGCAGGTTCGATTCCTAGCAGCGTCTTATTTTTTGCAAAATGGGNNTATTATTGTTATTTATTATTATTATTATTATTATTATTCAGGCTTCTAACAGAGGATGAAATGGTACTAGTAACACTGGAATTATATTCGCGGGGAGCGTATAGTCCATCGTATGGAGACGAGAGGCAAGCAATGCCCGGAATAGAGATACTGGACGAACAAGAGGACACAGAGAAACGGAGAAAGTTAGTGAGAGAGGCAGACAGGAGGTCGGAGCTGGGTATGGGGGGTGCTGAGGCCGCAGGCGCTTTAACGGTGGGTCTGGTTATTTGTTATTATTGCTTTTATTGTTTATTATTGTTATTTATTTTGTATAATAAATATAATAATAAATAATATATAATAATAATAAATAATATAGGTAAAAGAGCGCGAAATGGAGGCAGTAGCGCGGCACGGGATGAATAAGGACGAGGCGGTGTTCGCAGTGGAGGCGCCGCTTGAGGCACAGACCTTCCTTTGGTCGGAGAAGTATAGACCGAGAAAACCGAGGTTATTTATTATTATTTTTATTATATTTATTATTTATTATTATTGTTTATTATTATTATTTATTATTGTTATTGTTTTTATTATTTATAATAATTATTATTATTTAAATCATAATTAAGGTATTTCAATCGCGTACACACCGGATTCGAATGGAATAAGTATAATCAAACGCATTACGATATGGATAATCCCCCACCGAAAATTGTGCAGGGATATCGATTCAATGTTGGTTTTTGATTATTTTTAGTATTTTGTTTTTATTTTTTATTATTTTTATTGTTGTTATGTATATTAATAATGTACTAATACAGTACCAATACAGTAACTGTTACTGTACAAAATACAGTAACTGTTACTGTACAA